AAGATACCGTCCTGAACTTCATACATACAAAACATGGAGAGACTCAAGTGCTGACACACAAACACATGTGCATGTATGTGTATAGGTTTCTATGTCTGACATAATATATCATCTTTAAATATATGGTGGCGCCTAAACACTGATATTTGTGGTATCAAATATATCAAATCAAATATATCAAATATCATGTCAGTTGTTCCTCTGAGTTTACAGGTGTTGCTTGTAAGAACAAGGTGAGTGTGATTTGGCTTGTATTTGAGGGGGAAAATGCCATACGTATCAGTAGTTCAGTTCAGTTTTGCGTTTGCAAAATTAATTTACCAGGGCAACGTCCAGACCTTTGAGTTCGACTATTTTCACAAAGAACAAGCTCTATAGCCACTGTAGTTTATTTTATGAAAGCAAGTTTTATTTGTTCTTGCAAGATCAATGTTTTTGTCCATTTCATCTGATAAAATGTAAGGGCCTGATCCTGTCACAGATGTATACTCAAAACTCCAGTTAAGGCCTGGGAGCCAAATCCTGCTCAGCTTACTCACATGGGTATCAGCTGGCCTGATTGATTTTACTTCCCAGTTATAAATAAAAGCAAATTCCTTATGGTTAATTGAGTCTTTAATATTACCATAAAAAGCAGTATGAGATCAGGATCAGCCCTAGCGGGACTACATACACTCACAGAAAATTAGCCAGACTTTGCCCAGTGGAAATTCTGGGCATTCAAAGTAAGAATTGCAATTTAACAGAAGGTTATCCTATATCAGATTTCTCTGTTACAACATCTCTATTTAAGAAATCCTGTAGCAGTTAAAAACTCTTACAGTTTCCATCAGATCTGCAGCATCAACAAAAGAGTAACGTGTCAGATTTGCTTTGTATACCAGGAGACTCTTGTCCTTTCTGTTGCTCATTTCTAGATTTAGCAAAATTCAGTGGTGGTGCTGAATCTTTTTTTTTTTCTTTAACTTTCAAGGGAAAAAACCAGTGGCAAAATTGTGTTTTCTAGGGAAGGCTCTGTGTGTAAATGAGAAACAGTGGATAGCAGCGGAGTGATCTCCTGTGGCCCTGCTAGTACAAGCTTTCCCCATATTGTCTCCTGCTTTTATATTAATTACAACTTGCATTATCAGCTGTGAGTCTGTAGCCCAGCAAATAGAAAATACTGCCCCTGGAGACCCAGCTTCTTGTATCTATTTTCCATCTCCTTCTATTGTGCTCTACTCAGTATTCACTGCTTTTCTCCTGGTAACATTGCTCTTTAACACAATTAGGTAAGAGCAAGAAGAGCACCATATTTGACTCCCAATTATTAAAACTACTGGGAATAGATACATGTGTGCTGTTTACCTTCTATGGTAGCTGGCATTAGCTTAGGTCATATGTGTGTGAAAATTTCATAGTATGCACACGTACACAAAACAGGCAATTGCATTTTGGCAGGCATCATGCACAATCTTCAGTGTGTTTCTGCAAAGTATATTACTAAACTTGCAAGAAGATATGAGAAGCCACACTAACAGTTTGTATAATTTATCTAAAGCTATCTGGCTTTCTGTTTTGTTTGGTTTTTTTGTTTGTTTGTTTTTTTTGGTTTTTTTTTTTTTTTTACAGTGTGATAGCTTAATACAAATTTCATTGAAATTAATAGAAAAATTGCAAATAATGTTAGCAGGCTTTTGATCAGGATCTCTTTGGGTCCCTAAACTATACTGTTAAAGTGTTTCCAGTGAAGTACACTTCAGATGTGTGTTTTGATCCCATTTTTTTGTGAAGACATACATAAAATAACTACTTATGATAAGGCGTTTGGCCAAGAAGTTTTTGTTGAGGGATGAGAAGTTGGAAACAGCCTAGGAGAGAAAATGAGAAGTTCCCTGACATGTACAATGGTCTTGGTCCAAAGCAAAAGAATGCTGCCTTTTTATGAGGCTGTAAACTTTACCCGTAGAGTTATTTGTCATTTTTTATAATATTAAAGCCTAGTTATTTCCCTCCCTTTCAAATTCCTCCAACATTCTACTGTCGCATCTTGTAAATATCCCATCTTATTATTTCTGTCCTTCAACAAAATTCTACCAAATTGCTTCCTCAAGAAAACTGTGTCACAAGAAATACATTGAATTCCCAATCAATACGGTCTGTCTTTCTAAAACAGGATCTACAAACTGAGGTCAAGAACAACTCAGCCTGGTAGAGACAGCAAGTGTTTTCAGCTGTGGGAAGTCTTATTCAGTGATTCTTTCCAAATCATTACGGTTTTGAAACAGAAAGGCCAGTCTAGTTTTTGAAATACTGTATGATAGGTTTTGGATGACATTTGCCTTAAAACATAGCTGAGGTGTTACCAGTTAATTATTGTAATTTTCGTATCTGTGATAAGGAGCTCCAACAGCAGCCAGCTTAAGAGAGCCTGCAGTGCTTAAAATTAACATAACTCACTGTGTTCCCTGAAAAGTTTAGCCTAGGTGAACATGTTGCAATTATTACATTTTCTAAAAGAAGGTTCCAGCCTGATGTTGTTGGAGGGCTAAACTCATGCTATGCTATTGTTTCTTTCCTTTTTCATGTATTTCTTCTAGCTCTTTATCTGATTACCATCCGGCAAACAGCTGACGCTAAGAGGCTGCAGAGGGCTGAAGAGCTCCTGTCTGCTGTTTGCCTTCAGCTTGAAGCTATTTGAGTGGCTTCCTAACTCAGAGATAAAAAGAGCAGCTCATAGGCACAACTGTGTTTTAATCCAGGCTGTAAAGAAACTTGCTCAGTTTTTGCATTTTATTTCCATCTGAACTTTTTGTTAACCTTATTTTCAACTTTTTTTTTTTTTAATAACATCTGGGCTGCTTGAACTTTCAAGACTTCTCATCTTTCTTTTTGTGTTTCTTTCCACCTGACCCTGTAAAATGATGGTACTTTTTTTTTTTTTTTTTAATGAAATGGTAGGGGGTTGGATTATTAATAGTAATTTCTGAGACCTAATTAATACAACAACCTCAATAAATATAAAGTACTATTGTTTGGTGGTTTGTTTTATTTTTTTTCCTGTTGCAGTTCTGTGTCAGGAAAAGTAGATCAGTCTTCTGGGTTTTGGAGTAGGTGGTGGGATTGTGCCATAAGTGCTGTTGTGCTGTCTGTTGTGTGGATAGGTTAGGCAAATTTCAGATCCTGGCCTGTCTTCTGATTTTACTCATGTCTTCCTGCCGTGGAACCACGTACGTGTGCACATGCGTGCCTGTGTAAGGTGAAGGGGATTTGGATCCTTCTTACCCTTTGGTCACCTAGGGCTTTACTGGGAAACTTTTGGAGTCATGAGATCTTCCCTTTGTCTCTGCTGCGATCTGGGTCAGGCCTGTTAGATTTATGTTACTGGGTATTGTAGCAAGCCGTTATTTGGCAGTTCTATTTTGTGTTGCTATAGAGCATGTGGTACTAATCAGTGCTAAGAGATTACTTTGAGATGTTTCAATATGTATTTTGGGACCTGATTCCAATCACACTTACACTGAATTTTACAATGGGTAAATCAGTTGATTTTGTTCAACTTATTCCTACTACATGTCGGGGTAGATGAGGTCAGAATCTGTCCTGCTCAAAGAATTTATCCAAACTTGTCACTTGCTGCTTTCAGGACCTCCTCGTGCTTTAATAGTCTGGCGTTATTTCACAGTGCAGATTTAAAATGCAGTGAAAACTAAGAAGTAGTTTGGTTTTTTTTTTAGGGGGGAAACTTTTTCATTTGTTTTCTTGTTGTATTATTATAATGCACTTGATTTAAGTTGTCACATACAGGTGACAAGTAATGCAGGTCCAGCCCCTAGTCTGATCTGTTTCATGTGTTCTTGCTCTCCTTTTCTGCCAGAGGAAATTCCATCTCTTGCCTGCCTTCATGTGGTGCTGATAAAGCTCTTCCTGTACAGTAGAATTCCTGTTTTCCTTTAAGCAACAGCAGGGTATTGGGAATGATCAGGAAAGGGGAGGAGGACAGGAGGAGAATACACTCAACAAAGTAACACTAAACTGTAACATTAAGTTTTCCTCACTTATCCTTTTAAATAGCAGCTCTACGCTTCAGGAAAGCCAGTAATAAATTAGAAAGCTTGCATGAATTATGTGACTAAAGTACAGTAGTTGAGGTCTTACTTAGTCAAGTTTTGCAGACTTCGTATGTCTGTCTTCGACGTTCTCTTTTGTCATGTTTTATGCATAGTAATGTAGAAAGAATTACATAAAAATCACTATACATGTTGTTTTATATAATCACCTGGTGGTTATTCTTGACAATACTTGTGAGCGAACTGTTAGAGTGATACATCTAGAAAACCTTTTGAAATGTGTCATATCAAGGTGGGGTGGGGGTGAGGAAGCATCTTTCCTGGCATATAACTTCTTTCAGAGAAAGCTTGCTTTTTTCCTCACAACTTTGCATTTGCTCTAAGTTTTTCCATCATTCAAATGGGTGAGAGAGAGGGTAGGGTGCGAGGACATGCTCCTGTCCTATGCACTTTCTCCGCTACTTTTTGAAACAGCTTCCCTCCTCTCCCCTCCCATCTCTAGTCAGCCTGATTAAACAGTGTGGGGAGACAGTTTGCATACCAACTATCCTGATCCCGATGAGAACACTTAGTACCATAAACTGTGCAGGTTGATGCTCTCCCCCCTGTATAGCTCATTAAGAATCAAGAAATTGTTTTTTTTCTCCCCTGAAATAGTCTTCTGCAATACTATTTAAACAATTAATTCCAGACTATATGGAAAGTTTAAAAAAAGGAAAAAAAGCGCTGTCCTTTATTTTACCAAGTAAATCTTTGTACCTCCTCTGCTTGTCTTGAAGAATTATTACACTATTACACTGTGCAAACAGTATCGGTGTTTGGCACATTTCACGAATGCTAATGTGTATACTTTCCCCCCCCTCCCCTTCCCTTCTCCTGGTTTTCTTTCTGTTCTTCATTTGCTATTGGAATGGGAACTGTGGAAAAAATTCCTTGGCACTCTGACACCAGAATCCTTCATCTTGGAGAGACCACGATGATGCAACCTCAACGCACTCGGCAGGCACACCGGGGCCCTCCAGTGGGGGCCATGCTTCCCAGAGTGGAGACAACAGCAGCGAGCAAGGTAAAAGGTCAAACTTTTTCCCTCCGCAAAGTAGGCATGACTAAAATAACTCCAGCTTTTTTTTTATTGTATCAGTACATCTGCCTTAGAGTAAACATGGAGTGGCAGACGTGCAGTGTAATCAGCTGTAACTTAGGGAGACGGTATTTCCTTTTCCTAACCCACTTAGCTGCTTTTTATTATTATTTCAAAGTGAAATATCTAATCTTCAAACAAGCTTTGTAATAACAATTGATTAGTTCTGCCAATTCCTTTACAAATTTGGTTATCTACAGTTTATTTTTTTGTGATGTAAGTAAATACAATGATAGACGTACTCTCCAGCTGTGATGCAGTTGTTTAAGCTCAGTTATAGTCGGAGAATTTAACCTATAGTTTTAGCTGGGGAAGAGCCTCCTATGTAAAGTTATGGACTTGCTAACTTACATAAAGTAGAATCAAACCCCAAGTTGGACAGAAAAAATGTGGGTTTTTTGCAGTGTTTGCTTATACAGGTTTCTGCTTCAGAAATTCTTAATTCAGAAATAGAGATGTATCTAAACTGAAAAACGTGTGTTGGATCTATGCGCCAAAGCCTTCTCCAGGGTTCAGGAGGTTTAATTATTATTTCAGGGGGTTTTGTTTTATTTCCTACTGCACTGCACCTTGTGTGTGGTCATCTGCATCCATGCTGAGTGAGTGTCAAAGGCTGTCATTTTGATATGATAGTGTTTTACACTTGCTCATTAGATGTATAAGTGACTCCAGAAGGTATGAGTCTGCGACTCAAGCCTCCAGTGCTAAAAATTTGGGTAAAGATGGTCTACTGTCACTCTTGGATCTTGACTCAGAATGGATGTTTGGTGTGTTGGTTTTTTTAAGACCAGAGTTTAAGACGGGGTCTGTTCTTGTTTTTCTTTGTAAACATAGTAAGCTTCAGCTAGTGAATAGACATTGCCTTTGTAAGGTCTTAGGACATGCTTCCTCTGTCTCACACATCTGCAGTGTTTTGCCACTGCTTTTTCCTCACGTTGGGGGTTACAGATATCAGAGCCAATTGGCAGCTCTGCAATCCAACTAGCTATGCAGGATCCCAAAATTGGAGAAGGGAGCAGGCTTCAGGGCTAGAGCTTCCTTGGATAGCCTTGCTTCCTACTGTGGTATTTGCCATGCTTAGGCGGCGAAAACAATATGTGATTTCGCGTCTCTCGCGTGGCCCACTGCTTGGCACAGAGCTACGTCCCCTCATCTGTCTCACGATCTGGTGTTGTATGTGTTGCGATTCGAGGAACTTGCAAAGTTTGTTCCTGGTAGAGAGGTTTGGGTTTGCCTCCTGTCTGTAGGAATTGTTTATACATTGGTAATCTTATTGCTGATAGAAAGCAGCCATGGCACAGGGTGTGATCCAGCTCCAACATGAGTCACGCAGGATTTTTTCTGTGTGGTTGGATTGGAGCCGTGCAAAGTCTAGAGTGAACTAGTACAGCTTCAGCAGCTAATGAAAGGGAGAACTTGACTGCTAAGCAGCAAATCTGTGTTAGGTCTATTTGCTGGCAATAGGCTTTACCGCTCATCAAGGGTTTACGTTGTATATTGTGGCTAAGGTGCTTGGTGTACAGATGATCATTTACAGACAAAAATGATTCCCCTGAGTCATCTGCCAGAGCGTGTTCATTCCACCCCTAGGTAAGAAATTTCCTTGGGCCTGTATCTCCACTCTGTCCCAGCAAACCCTTACCAATCGCAAGACTTTCTTCATCAAGCCATGCCTGATGTAATGAAAGCCCTTGTATCAACATCCAGGGATCCTGCATTTCGCTAGTCTTTTCCCTTGTCACATAGCTCAGGGTGCTCAAGAAATATTGCTAAATCTAAGTAAAAGTGGTTGATGATAACTATACCAACTTCCCATTGGAGACTGAGGTTTCTGGTAATACATGTGATTTAAACAAACCCGTTACTCATTTCTGCTGAAGGGCCAAATCAGTCACTAGTGCTGCCCAGTGTAGCAGGGTAAAACATCACTAGCATGCTTCCCTTTGTGCGCAGTTGGGCCTTTTAAAGGGAAGCAGTCGTCCAGTGGCAAATCAGCATTCCACTCAGCTGCTGGCAGCTGAAAGATGTATGATCCTACAGCACCGGCAAAATTCCCATTGGAGACAGCTCTGGATTGCTCTCCCCCTCTCAACCCTGGGAAACACTAAAGACAGGGAGGCTTGTATTGAATTTTCCTTATACTTCCTTGAGGGGGGCTGGGTTTACTTTGTAACTCGTGAACTGGCAGTGAGTCGGTCTAGGCAATGCCAAGATGGGTAGATGCCCTCTTGAGCTATTCTGGTGCAGTTATTTAATTGGGTCATCTTGGTTTCCCTGCAGTTTTCTCAAGACCTTCCACAAATGCTGCTTCGAGTATTCCACTTGCCCTAAAGGATTTCTAGGGAATGGTAGTCTTGGGTTACATTAGAAACTTGTGGTCTCCTCCACTGATGCCTGGTGGCAGCAGAGTTGGATTCTAACTAGAGTCAGTTTCTTCTGGCTCTTGGGAGCACTCTTCCCAGGGGTATCTGCTTTTGCCTTAAGTTTATGATGTGCAGTTTGTGATTTTTTTTTTTTTTTGGGGGGGTGGGGGGTAGGAGATGGAAAGAAATTGGGTGAGTGTTGACATTGGTTTTGTGGACTTTCTCTGTATGAGGTAGATGTGTTTATTATACAGAAGAATCCATCCATAATTCTTTTACGTTAGAGCCAAACAGAAGATATGTAGGCATTTTGTCTGTTGATGGAGGATGGTCTATCCACGACAGTGCATGCTTGCCCTTTGGCATCAAAAGGGTTAATCCAGTCAGTGTTTGGTATTATTAGAAACACACTGGCATTGAAAGAGTTAAGGAAAGGGCCTTCAGGCAGTAAATGTTGAAAGATTATCCTAATTTTATTAGTGGTGAGTGTCTATGTTGTTCTTAACATGTCACCTCACTTGTTCAACAGAAAACTAAGCTATACAACGTATTGATCATCTAGCAAACCAAAGTACTAGTGACCTGCAATCTACCAAGCATTTATTGACTTTATCCCAGTTCAGATCCACAAATGCAGTTCAATGCTGTGTAATACTATTTTAGAGATTAGTAATTATGTAGTAGGTCTGATCAACTTTTCCCTTGCCCTGGAAAGAGAAAGAGTTAAATATATTCAATAATAAAAATAAAACACACTAAGCATCTTACAAAGGAGAAAAAGAAGAAGCTGATTTAATGGTCTAATGAGGCCATCTTCCAGAGACTTGTTTTGTGTAGGGCTTGCTTTGACCTTTCACTTTGCTCAGGAGCCCAACGCTTCATTTTTCACATTCTTGCAATTACGTTAACGCTTCAAGCATTTCTGACTCCAAGTCAGCTAGCAACACCAGGCATAACTCAACACTGTGAGTTTTTCTCCTCTCTGTAGATTCATTAACAGGTCACCGGGGTCCTAACTGAAATTTAAAACTGACTGGTTCTGTTGGGTTAGCTGAGTTATAGCAAGGGAGATGGCAGGAAAGGGGCTGAGAGAAGGGGAGGGGAGAGAGAAGACCCTGGGGTTTTTGCCAGGGAATATATGTGTAAAAACCCTAAGCGGAAGATTAAAAGGTGTGTGTAGTTTTATCATTCATCCTTTTCTTTGGAGGGGAAAAGACACATCTGAAAGTCTTCTGGGGTATTGTGTTTTCCTTAATCTTTACGAAACAAAGTGAAAACGGCCACTGCCTTTACATGCAAGGCTAAGTGACTTCTAGAATTCAGCATCCGTTTGTATCACAGTGATGGATATGAGGCTCCCCGACTTTAATTCCTATTTAATCTCTTTATGGGATATTTCAAAAAATGAATATGGCAGATTATGCATGAAAAGTGGAAAATAAATCTTTTTAAGGTTTAAAAACATGTGGTCTGCAGGAAAGCACCAGGGAATAGTTTCAGTTTCATATTTTATGACACCAGAATTGTATACCTGATTTGTCATGATCTTAGTTCAGTTACTCAAAGGGCCTGATCCAGCCAAGTCAGATGGAGGCTGTGTTTCTTCAGGACCCTTCAGGAAGTTCAGCATCTTTTTAGGATTAGGCCTGGGGTGATAAAATTGACCATAAGCGAGAAGCCAGATACAAGAAACTTCTAGGTTATAGAGCAGTAAAAATAATAAATGGGCAGCATATCCACTTTGCTTTACCCATGTGAGTAGTTCATTGGTGTGTGTTTTTTTTGGTTTGGTGGCATTTTTTGGTGGAATTACTTGTGCTGAATGAAGGTGATCTGCTCCTTTATAAATAACGTCTGTGTCTACTCTCCAGGGCAATGTCTTAAAAGTAGTTTTGAAACATTTTTGTGACAGCTTGATGTTTGTCCCACAAATTTGTCCACAACAGATTTCTGTGGCAAAGACTCATCATCTGTTTTGGGGCAATGTCAACTAAGATATTAGATGAAATTATGTGTTCATCCCAGGTTATGTCTCTGGGTTGATGCATGTTGGAAAAAAGTAGGTAGCCTATTTCTTATTCATTATATAACATGTTGTAATAATGATGGTATACAGATTAAATTTGTTTACAAAACGAGCTGATAATGCCCAAAGGCCGGTTGTAGTATTGAAACTTTACCGAAACTACATAAAGCTTTGAACCAAACTCCCAGTATTTAGAAAAAGGAGAGGGATATGTTGTTATTAATAATAATAAAACCCCCAACATATTCATGCAAAGTCTTTGGAAGTTTAATATCCAAAAGCTAACGCTAAAACTTCTTTTTCCTAGTGCTGTATGTATAGGTAAGCCTGCTGAGGCTAGTATGCATAGTCATCATAAGGATTCAGAACATATTTTTATTCCTTTGTATTTTTACCTATAAAGCTATAGGGTATGGTTTTATTGGAAGAGAGCTGCCTTTTGTAAGAAAGGAAATTCCTAATAGAAAGGCTCAAACATCCAGACTGTGAAAAATCAAACTTGCTAATAAATAATGCTTCACTGGAGATGCATTATT